TTTTTGTTTTGTTTTTTTGTTTTTTTTAATAGGTTTTTAATATAAATAAATAGGGTTAATAAGTATGATGTTGTTAAGCAGGTGTATGTTAATTCAATATATATCACTACGGATTATGCAAGATGTACATGTATATATAAAATGAATTAACTGTATGAATAATACTAACATTTATTCAAATGATAGACCCATATGGTTATATTATGAAGCTTATGAATTATATAAATCCTATTTCTAGGATAAATTTAATATTTCTTGTGTTTGTTTTGTTGTTGTTGTGTTTTTTTTTTCACAAACAAAAGAATGCATATGCATATGCAAAAACTATTTAACTCCAACAAATGAGATCCAATTATACACATATTTCCTTAATCTCTTTTTTCTCTCTCTCTCTCTTTCTCTCTTTAAATAAACATAGATTTGTTTCCATTTAAAAGATCATTTCTATTCATTTTAAACTATAAAGAAAAATAATAATAAATAGTTCTTTATTATTTAATTATCAATCTGTTCGAAATTTCATTTTGATTAATTTGCCCAATAAAATTAAAAGGAAATTATTTAAAATTATGTTACTATGACAACAAATAAACATTATAATTTATAAGTAGCTTAGATATTAGAACAGATATTTGTTTAAATGAAAACTATTGATTCATAATATGAAGATTAATCGAAATTTCGATTATGATAGATTTTATTAAAAGTAGAATAGAAATGATTTATTTAAATCATTTATATGTGTGAACATAAGTTTATTTCTCATAATGTAAATGTTTTTTTTGTGGAGGAACTGTTATCTTAATTAATATTAAGATACAATTCCTTGAGTATAATAATCATCAAAAACCTTTATGACTATAAGTTTATAATATGGGTTTTTTTAATGATCTGTTGATATAGAATATCTACACGATCGAATTCTTATGATCATTTTGATCAGTTTTTTTTAACATAGACGAATACCAGCCAGATAAAAGATTTATGTTTGTCGGATGTCATTAAATAGGTTGTAATAAATGTTTCTTATTAACAACTGTCAAATGGCATGAAACCTGTACGTATGGCTTCCTCCTAAATGTCTCCATCCAATTTTAAAAAATGACATTACAATGTAATCATATAACCTAGCTACTACATTTTAAGTTGACTGACAGATTTTGATTGTCACTAAGTATCATACACAATATTATTGGTTATTACTAAGTTGCAATTTTGTGTAAATAAATTATTTCTGTAGAAGGTCAATCAAATGGAAAGATGTCTGTGAAATTGCATGACATAGTTTCGAATTACATGACAACTATTAGTTATCTTGAGAGTTCAGATGTCTTATTGAAAAGTTCCAAGTAGAACGATAAGTTTATTCTTAGGCTACTTTATCCAGACATTAAGAATAGAAACAAACCATTCAAACCAAGTTGTCTGTACATGCAAATGTACCAGTCTATCAACATTGGGAATTATATCGGGAATTAGTTTATAACCTATAAATAATCATCAGATAATTGGCTTGAAGGTATCATACAGTTTTATCTTTCTTTTGTGTTATCCTCTTTAATAACTTCTACCACAATCCCTTCTTTTAATAAAAACAATTAGTAGCATTTGATGGATTATTATAAAAAAATATCTTAAAAAGTGCAGACAAGAAAGAATGCATTTGTTTATATTAATTGATAGAGGTCGACATTTATAAAATTCCTAGTTTTCAGTTTATAGATGATGTTTATTATTCATGTGTAGATATGCATCTAGTTTTAAAATAATCAGATGTTTTTTTCTAAATTAAAACTATTTGATTTGTGAAGTAAACAAACAAAATCTCAACAAAAAAAACAAGTCTCACATAGTACCCGATTTTTATTAAACAAGTAGAATAACAATAACAGGTAATTATATTAGGCAAAAATGGACAGTGGCTAGTAGTGAAATCCAGGACACACGTTTTGTCCTATTTGAGACTCGTCAGATGGATGCACCTGCATCTCAGAGTTGATCTTCACTCCATGATTCAAGCACATCACGTTATCCACTTAGCTACCGAGTCCTGATAGTCACTTGCTTGTGCATTTACCAAAAGGTAATTATAATTTCTCCTTATTTAAGATTACATTTTTTAGGGTTTTTTCCAAATTAATTATTTCTTTTAACAAAGAAGTCTATTCTACATCCGTCTCCGACCCAAATGATTGCTCTGAAATTAATTTTCACAATCCATTTTTTGCATAGTTCAATTAAGTCACTTCAGGGTTTACATGATTGAACTTAGAGAGAAATTTTTAATTATTGATAATTTATAAAAGATATTTTGATGAGTGAACTGGCTGCACTACCGAATGTCCTAACAAGTTAAACTGTCTCATGTACAATCACTTCTAATCAAGTCACAGGAGAGTAATTAACATACAGTAAATAATCTGGTTTAAACTACGGTTGTGTGGAATTCCTTCACAAATGTGACCAATATTTCGCTAATGATTACATTTAAATTTCTTACTTAGGTGGAAATAAATCATAAAATTCACATATACGCAAAAATGGAATAGTGAAATAAAAATAGGTCAGTTATAGAACTATGTATGCTTACATCATTGTTTGAACATCCAATAACATATCCCCCCGCAAGAAGCAAAACAATTTCACGAATTTATGACATTTAGGATTATAATAAAGGTATTAAGTTTCGTTAAGTCTTTGTTTATTCGCTCTTCATTGAATGTTAACAATCTTTACAATAATTTTTTACCATAAACCATGAATTATTAAACTTTTCAAATTCATTTCAGGATTTAATTAGCTTTAAATGTTTCGGAATACTAGAGAAAACTAATTCAGATAAATGCTGTAAGCGTTTGGCTTAAGCTCTGTAATACTAATCCAAGATTAAGAACGTTTTCATCATAAACGATATCCCGTGTGCGGAATCGTGGATGAGTACTGATGAGTAGCCCCAATGTAGCACGAAATAGCCATCCAGTGCTTCCAGGTTTTCAGTGGTGGTCTAGCTTAGATCGACTAGTAAATTCAACTGTTAAGATGCTACAATCTCCATGAATCATCATGTAGATTTATTTTTATATTTTTATACAATAGGCTAAATGCTTCTAAATCATATCTTAAGCCTGCTTTTTCCACAAAACATCACAGTAACAAATCCATTTAAGATATATTTCTACTTTATCAAACTGAAATTCGAAGAAAAAAATCAATTATTCCTTTCGAAACCATCAATGAAGTCCCAACAGGTAGAGGAGAGATCAGCAATTAATAAAGCTGTACGATGAATCAAAATAGAAGTTGACATTCATCATAACTATGACTTCAACAATTTACGTCACTCATCCGTTCACTTTATTATTACGATATCATTTCATTGTCTAATATAATTTACAGTTTGAGGTTGTGAAGACTGTTTTATTTCACTGAAATCATGAACCGATCAATATCAGACCAACATTGAAAACCGGGAGGTAATTACCGGCCCTTTTTGTCCGAATATAGAACTCCTCAGTAATGCCCATCTACAATCCCGCACATTGGATTCAAACCCAGCACCTTCAGTTTCACGCGCGAACACTTAACCTTTAAACCACTGAGCCGGCATAGAACTTTGTTAATGTCTAACTTCAACCACTCCACAATGTTGATAGGCTATCTTCTTTATTTTGGTGTGTAACTGCCTCTCATTCGACATGGTCATGGCTTCTCATGATTTCAAAGTAATATTATTTAGTTGAAAAATATGAACTAAATCAAATCAAAGATCATTTTTATTGTTAAAATTTAGAATCAAATCTTATCAATAGTATTCTACGTCATTGTATGATATATTTAACAAGAAAATAAACTATTTATTTAAAACAAAAATAAGAAATTGACATTTAAGATTGGTATTTATGGGAAATTAGTGTGTATTGTATTCTCTTTGAATATTCTGTTCATCTTATAAAACGTAAGGGGAATAAGTCTTTAAAATTGATTTCATTATAAAAAGGATTTATGAAAATCAGTATTACTTGTGTATTATAGAATCAAATATGTATACAACATGTTTACATATAAACATTGGGAAAGTTGAGCAGTAAAAAACTTACCATTATTACAGTGAAACTATGTTCTTATTCAATAGTGAAATCTATTATGAAGTAGTTGTACATCTCTAAACTGACATACTATTTGAAATTGACTGAGCTTTTAAGATTTAAATATTCAGTCACTTCGATTGCCTACAACGATTTTATAGAACATTAAGACTACAATATGACCATGTTATAACGACTAATGAATTAATGAGTCTTGAAGTAGGAAATTTGTAAATAAGCTATTTTTAATTCGGATCATCTAGTAGATAGCTATAAATGAGAAAAATCTACAGACAGCACTATTAAGATGGCAAATCGCAATCAATGTATTTTTCTATTAGCTATTAATCATATACTATTACTAGCAGATTAATTAGTCAACTGCTTTGATTCATTAATATAGCGTTGATATGATGCAACAAAATTCCCATATCTATTTAGATTGGAACTAATCAGTCAAGTAATTGGATGTGAAACCTTTTAGTAAATATAACTAAATGTGTATAAACTATTTAAACTACAGTTAACTTGGTGAAGGGTGATCTATTGATTGAGACATTTGATTTTTGCTCTTCAATATGTAGATTCTAATCTACTTGTATTTGAGTAGTTGGATAATACCATAAACCGTTGCAATAAATATCCATGTCATAAATCAGTTATGTTCTTAATGAATTCAACTGAAACCAACTTAGTTGGATTCAGTAGGTTGTAGAAGAAGGAATAAATAAGAGCATTACAATTCATGTTTATTATGCTTTTTTTTAAAGCATTACTTGTGTTATTCAGAAATTAGCAGCAATCATATCAAAATAATGAATTTCATGTAATTTAAAGTCCTATATATTATTTGTAACTTTAAATTGATATGCATGAAACTAAAGAAAAATGATTATCATCAACATATAGACTTACTTGTTTTTTGACATGTGAAATGATAATCATGACAACAATCTCCAGTAATGACACAACTTTCATCACAATAACAACGATCACGTGGACTTGAATGACCAGCTACACTACGATATTTCTTCCATGGATAATATCTAGATATTGAAGATTGTCCAGTTGATTTGTAAACAAAACATTTCTTTTCACGACCGGCACAACATATAGACATTCCATTAGGTTGAAGGCATCCATTTGAAATAACTAATGAGATTTGATTGATTGTAATATAAAATAAAAATAATATGACCCAGTGAAAAAACTTCGAATTAAATTGAATATTTAAACGGTTTTGAGTTGATCGAATCATTGTTTTTTGTTTGTTTATATATGAAAATGAGTATTTATAATTCACAAGATAGCAACAACAAAAATATTATAATGAATGAACTGGATTTCTAATGACTAGTAATTATTTTTGTATAATAGGAATTCTATAATAAGTTTTTGCTGCCTGTTATGTGCATAGAATAAATAAGTAATAAATAAGTATTAACAAGTGGACATGTAGTCATGTATTTAAATAATATTTTCAGGAGGAAAAATTATTGAGTTATTTCTTTAATTTCAGGGTAGTTAAAGAAAAATTCTTTTTTTTTCTATTGTCTGATAACCGTATCCAGGTCTTATATACTGGTGGCCTATCGACTCTACACCATTCCAACGTACTGTTGTCCCAATCTACATATGTATGTATGTATATATGTATGTATTTATGAAGCAATGCACAAGATCCGGTAATATGCAAACAAAATGCTTTTGGTTATGTAAATATGCACACACTAAACATCCATTTGGTGCTCAGGCCTAGACATTGATAGAAATGATGCTAATGTTTGTACAATTTTGCACGTATGTAATCCGATTAACTTCCTCTATGCAACAGTATGATTGGTTAATTTCAATAAAAGTAGTAGGCGAAAGACCTGACCTTCTCTTGACCCCATATAAATGACCATCCCAAAAGACGGTAAAAACAACAAGGTTTTGATTACAGCAGACTAACAAAATAAATGAAAAGGGTTAAGGTCAATTGTTATTTTCAACACTTGGATGAAGTAACTTACACTGGCTGTTTCGGTCCAATGATTAGGACATTTGGTAAAAAAATATAGCATTAATCTGATAGATATATATGGGTGTATGAAAAAATGCATACAAACTGTATCTTTTATAGACACTGTCCTTAATATTGTACCATGACAAACAATGTAAACAGGAAGACTATTATCTACTGACTGCTATTACATAATGACATGTTTTACTGACTAGGAAGTTCTTTGTTTCCCTTATCGGCAGTGAATTGGTTTATCAATTAATCAAATATGTAAATAAAATTGGTAAAAAACCATGGACTATGGTATGATGACGAATAAATTTATTATTGAAAGAAATTAATTTTAGAGAGAAGTAGAAATAAAGAGGAAAAGAACTGCAAAATTACTTCGTTAGTACTATATGTACAGAAATATCACTACTGGCGGCCTGCTTGAATATCTGGGCTACCTGTTCCTCCGATCTACATATTTCATCAAGTTATCTGTTTTGTTGCTTGTTTTAGTTCATCATTATGTCCATTGAGCACACAATCTATTCAGGCGCGTTTATGAAAAGTATACAACCTTTCGCTATACGTGATACAAAAAGGTACAATCATCGACATCATGGTGGCTGGCAATATGCATTGAAACGAACGAACATTAATCAAATGTGGATTACCGAACTCCTAACATCTAACCGGTCATCATTCAAAATTTATCGTCACAATAGATCAAGGTATAAGAAAAGGAAACTTGTTGAAATACTTTATGCTGAGAATTCTATGTTGTACCAAAAATATAATGTTGAATAAAGCTTCTAATAATAATAATAATAATAATAATAATAATAATAATAAGATACAGAAAAATATTTTTGTACAGTTGAATAACATTGAAGAATGTGTTTTCAACAGTTATATGCCTTGATTTTCAGAGTATATAAGTCAGTGTTGTATTTCTTAAGGGACTTTATTAATGATTGCATTTTGTCTCGGAAAAGAATAGAAACACATATGAAAGTTAGGTGAATACAATTAATTGAGTCAAGTAATATTATTCAAATCGACATTCCTTTGAAAACCATTGAATTCAAGTATCTAAAATTTATGTTGACCAGAAACTAAATAAATGATGATAATTCGGTTATTTATTTACCCTGAAAAAGTAGCTTACATAAAGTCACTAAACGTCAGAAATACAATTTTTCTACTCATTGGGATATAACAAAAGCATATATTGATTATTGACTTTATACCTATTGCTCAATTTATTTAAAACTATCAAGTTTACCTTTGGTATTGGTACCTATAAATAAATTATGATAATTTCAACAGTTAAGATCATGAGTCGATTGAAGCTAGACAACCATGGAAAACCTGGAAGCACTGGACAGCCGTCTCGTCCTATTGTAGGACTCCTCAGAAGTGCGCATCCACGACCCAACCTCGCGGGATTCGAACCCAGGACCTATCAGTCTCGCGCCAGGCGCTTAACCAACTAGACCACTGAGCCGGTATCCAATGGTGTTAATGTCTAACTTCAACTAATCCACGAAATTGAGCGACACATCCACCATTGTCATCAGTGAGTTACTACCTCACAACTGACCCGGTTGAACTCCACTGGTCACTTTTTCGTTAGAACTCCAGGATATACCTCTTGAAGACAGTTACTAGGGCGCATATGTTGATTAGTATCAGAAGGGGTTTTTTGTAGAGATTGTAGTAATTTCAAAATTTGAGATCATGATAACTTCAGTAAACAAAGATGATACTGAGAATTCTTTACTTTCATCCGTGAAGTAATGAAATCATTAAAAGTATAGAAAAACAGTTTTACATCAGAATGAATTCATTAATAACTACAAATAAAGAAGTTGCTTTGTTTTCATACAAAGAACTTTTAAACAATTCATATCTATGAATTATATGCTATTCATATAGCAGTTTGACTTTTTAACAATTTTCTTAATACATATATAAATATTCATCTGAGTATTCTTTTTGTATTTTCTTAGAATGGATAATCTACCTATTTCTACAATCTGTCAATACTATTTTATTCAAGTGTAATTTGTAATGTTTAATAATCGTTTTGTTTATTACACATTACCAACTTATACTATAGTAAAAATATTATTTATACTTACTTATGATGATTTTGTAAGATCATGAAATATACTCAGCTTGATATTACAGAAGTATTAACATCAGTAAAGAAACCTTTACTAAGCTAATTGACTTGGTGAAGAATCTACTATGTCCCGAATGTATTACTCACCACTGATTACTATTAGCCAATTTCATGTTCGCTTTCAATCTCTTGTGTTATAAGTGTGTACTGTCTAGAAGCTTCAGGTTAAAACGAAATACATTTAAATTGATCCATGACTTTCAGCAGTTCTCCAGATAATGTTAATTCATGACGAAATTTGTCCTAGAAGGAAATCTTTGAAATATACTGATCAAAATATTTGAGTTACTGAAAATTCAGCTTGAATTTCACAAATACCACCAAAATTACAAAGTTCGAATACCTCCAATTCATATACAAAATTATATTGAAGGAAGTCTTGTAGACTTTGCTCCATAGACGAATATTATTTAGATCATAATTACGTAACTAGTCCAAGACAGCAGATAGATGACAACAATCAACAATGCAGATAGATTTAATTTTTCGTTCACCATTAACAACACCGATTAAAAGTCATTAAAACGTATTCACTTACACAATATACATTATAACTGTGTGATAATGAATAAGTATGATAACTTAGCAAATAATCCATTGCTTATTAATCTTCCAAGAAATTCTGATCAGTTTAAGTAACATTATAAATTTAAGAAAACGATTATTTTGTCTAAGTGATTTGAATTGAACTGGGGTATTTTACTTATTGAAATGAAACTGAAACGTTCAAAATATTATCAATGTATTAAACAATTGTATCTGTAATCATTGTAAAGATTAAATGTTTTAAAGTGAGATGAGAAGAGTTATATTTTACAATTACTATTACTAATTAAATCAAGCAAAATATAATGGGCCACAATACTGGATTACAATTAATTATTCAATTAAATACTTGTTTACTTGAATAATGAAATCGCATGGCGGGATCATGAATGCGCACCGCCGAAGAGTCCCATACTAGGACGAAACGGCTGTCCATTGCTTCAAGGTTTTCCATGGTGGTCTAGTTCCAATTGATTCATGAATTCAACGATAAAATCTTGCCAAGCACATTATTAGACTATATTTCCAAGCTTTCATACTAAAAATGTAAACATTAATAATTCCTTTACAAAAAAAAGATATGTAAATTATTCCAAATACTTTGTTGACAAAAATTATTTGATAAAACTTAATTGGTATTTCATGTATTTTTAAATGTTAATTCATTATTGTTTATTCACTATACCATAAATGTATTTAAATGAAATGACTAATTAAAATAAATACTGTCAAAAATATTCATAGGCTTCTAAATATCTTAAATGGAAGATAAAGTTTTACAGTGTTTCTTCGGATGTAATTTTTATCATTTTCTTGTTAACGGTAATAAATATGGTTCTAAGAAACTTTACACTACGGACAAACTTATACTATATAACTAAGAGTAATAACTCTACAAATCATTGGATTCAAGATCAAGTACAATAAATATCTAAAGAGATTAAACTAGATTGAATTTTTTACATTTCCATATTAATTCAGCTTACGATACTTCAGAATGAATTTAAAACAAAGCCTAGGCATTTGTCAAGTTCAGGTTAGTTTATAATAGATCTCCATCTCAGTATTGGGTTGTGGAAATTGTTAAGTTTTTAATTGAGATCATGAACCGATTGATGTTAGAGCACCATTGAAAACCTGAAAGCACTAGACGCCCGTTTCGTCCTATCGTAGGACTCCTCAGCAGTGCTCATACACGATTCCGCCCACGTGATTCAAACCCACCACCCGCAGTCTCACGCACAAATGCCTAACCTCTAGACCACTGAGCCGGCATTCAACGGTGTTAATATCTAACCATCCAGTACTTCCAGGTTTTCAATGATGGTCTAACATCAATCAGTTCACGATCTCAACCAAAAAGATCTCTACGTCTTTTTAATCTAGAATACATATTAATTTGAAATCTTAGCATATACTAAAGAATCCCAAAATAGAACGATAAATAATTTTTGTTTAATCTTTATCCATATTTCATATTCAGGCAATATAAAGCAATTTTTTACATGATACCGAAATCACTAATCCTTATATCCAATTCTTAACTTTGCTATATGGATGAATCATATTATTCTGTTGTTGTTTTATAACATAGATCTGAAGAATAAACAAACCATCATCATACTACTTTGAATTGATACTACTTAGTTAAATATTTTTTTATCACAATTGATTGATCGCTGGGTGGTGATCAATGTCATGCTTGTCAAGTCCTTATTTAGTGCAGATCGAATGCTATCGATCATGTTGCAATGTGGCCACCAGTCTAGGTGACTCGACACTGCATGCACTATGTATTGAGATTTTAAATGGTTGTTGCAGGTAGTCGACAGGAAATCCTGGACCCACCTAGACTGGTGGCCACATTGCAACATGGTCGATAGCATCTGATCTGCACGAAATAGGGACTTGACATACATGACATTGATCACCACCCAGTGATCAATCAATTGTGACTATATCTCATTCTTACAGGAAGTCAGTTGCGGCCCGGATAGCTCAGTGGTAACGTCTCTGACTGTAAAGCTGG